TCGCTAGAAGAAATTGAAACATCTGGAAATCTGACTGGTTTGGCCCCCAGGGCTTGTTTTACCAAATAACCATCCTTCCTATATAAATTCAAGTCTTAGAGAATTTTGTTCTTCCATAGAACTCCTGGTTTCCTGCTCAGTTTGGGTCCTCACCTTCGTAAATTATCTAATGATAGTAAACACTGTTGAGGGTTAAAAGTAGTGTTTTTCTGACAAAACCACTTTTCTTCTGAAATTTGTTTCTTCTCACAAACACTTAGGGAGCTTTTAAAGACCTGACGTAGTTAATTCCTCTAACTTTGCGCGCCCTGATGACCATTAGGGGATTATTTTCCTCCATAAAGTGCTAACGTGATGTGTTGTAACAAGGGGGAAAAATCTTGTGTTAAAGTAAATCAAACATGGACATATTCTTTTTTTTCTTATTTGAGATCAGAAAGAGAGTAGTAGTATCTTCATGCTGATTTGTGTCAAAATATGCATTTTTAGATCCTAGTGAAATTCTTTGCCTGTACTCCTTACAAGAAATGTTCAAACCCCTGTTTCTGTACTTGTGCTTAATCAAGTTAACAATAATCTTTGAATGTGGCTTTGCATTAACACTGGATGAAGTTTACTATGGAGATCTTAAAGAAAAAGCCGGCCCTAAACAGAAAAAATCAGGTTTCTTGAACTCAGGGAAATAATAGATGTGAGGGAATCTTCTAGAAAACTCTTTTCTGTCCTCGTTAAAGCTCAGATGTGTTTTCTGTCCTTGTTAAAGCTCAGATGTGTTTTCTGTCCTTGTTAAAGCTCAGATGTGTTTTCTGTCCTTGTTAGAGCTCAGATGGGTTTACTGTCCTTGTTAGAGCTCAGATGTGTTTTCTGTCCTTGTTAAAGCTCATAAGTGTTTTAACTAACGGTGCTGGTGTCCTTTAGGGTGAAGCGTCTGCTGCTGGTGGAGCCGTGGGGGTTCCCGGCCCGCCCAGATAACCCCCAACACAACTCCATCCCCATCTGGATCCGGGCCATCGGGGCCGTCATGAGCCCCTTCAACCCTTTGGCCGGGCTCAGGCTGGCGGGGCCTCTGGGTCAGTGAGCAAACAAGCAGAGACAATGAGACCTGCAGCTTTTTAAGGTTTGAGTGGCCGGAGGGTTTGACAAGGAAAAGCTGACATCATCCAGCCATTCTCCACCTCTTATCCGGTGTCGGGTCGGGGGGGCAGTAGCCCCAGCAGGGAGACCCAGACCTCCCCCTCCCCCCAACTTCGGCCAGCTCCTCCGGGGAACCGAGGTTTTCCAAGAGACACAGTCCCTCCAGCGGGTCCTGGGTCTCCCTCTAGGTCTCCTCCCAGGTCCTGGGCCTCCCTCTAGGTCTCCTCCCGGGTCCTGGGTCTCCTCCTGGGTCCTGGGTCTCCCTCTAGGCCTCATCCTGGGTCCTGGGTCTCCCTCTAGGCCTCCTCCCAGGTCCTGGGTCTCCTCCCGGGTCCTGAGTCTCCTCCTGGGTCCTGGGTCTCCTCCCGGGTCCTGGGTCTCCCTTTGGGCCTCCTCCCTGGTCCTGGGTCTCCTCCCGGGTCCTGGGTCTCCCTCTAGGCCTCCTCCTGGGTCCTGGGTCTCCTTCTAGGCCTCCTCCCGGGTCCTGGGTCTCCTTCCGGGTCCTGGGCCTCCTCCCAGGTCCTGGGTCTCCCTCTGGGTCCTGGGTCTCCCTTTGAGTCTCCTCCCGGGTCCTGGGTCTCCCTCTGGGCCTCCTCCTGGGTCTGTGGAGGAAACAGCTTATATCAGAACACCTGTGTGGTTTTTCTAAAGGCGATCCCTGGTCTTGCATCTCCTCCTCTGTAGGTCCCACGCTGGTCCAGACCATCCGGTCCGATTTCAAACAGAAATACGCGTCCGTGTTTGACGACAACACCGTGTCCGACTACATCTACCACCTGAACGCCCAGACGCCCAGGTGAGGCCCTTTCCAGGTGAGGCCCTTTCCAGGTGAGGCTCCTCCCAGGTGAGGCCCCGCCCAGGTGAGGCCCTTTCCAGGTGAGGCTCCTCCCAGGTGAGGCTCCGCCCAGGTGAGGCTCCTCCCAGGTGAGGCCCTGCCCAGGTGAGGCCCCGCCCAGGTGAGGCTCCTCCCAGGTGAGGCCCCGCCCAGGTGAGGCCCCGCCCAGGTGAGGCCCCGCCCAGGTGAGGCCTGCTAACGGGCCTGTTTCCGTGTTTCCCCCCCGGCCAGCGGAGAGACGGCCTTCAGGAACATGACGGTCCCCTACGGCTGGGCCAGGAGGCCCATGCTGGAGCGCATCGGCCGGGTCTCCGCCAGCATCCCCATCTCCTTCATCTACGGGTCCCGGTCCAGCATCGACAGCAACTCCGGGCACGCCGTCAGGGAGATCCGGCCAGACGTGGAGATAACGGTGAGCACGAAGCCGTTTCAGAGCGTGGGTGTGGGTTAAGTCATGAAGTGGGCATAGATTCGGGGTTTGACATGAGCTGAAGTCGTGTTTTTATCAGTGGCTCTTTCCTGTGATGGAAACAGTGACTGTTCCCCTTTACATAGTTGCCTCTTTTAGGTTTGCACTTTGGCTCAGGTTGAAGTCTGGACACAGTCCTTCTCTGTCCTTCTCTTGCCCTCTCTTTCTCTCACCCCCAACCGGCCGAGGCAGATGGCCTAAAATGATGGTTAAAAGGAGGTTTTTCCCTCCCTGTGTCGCCTAGTGCTTGCTCATGGTGGGAATTGTTGGGTTTCTGTAATTAACTTCAGAGTAGGGTCTGACCTGCTCTGTTTGGAAAGCGCTGTGAGACGACTGTTGTTGTGATGTGGCGCTATATAAATAACATTGAATTGACTTGAATTGAACTTTTACCGAGTCATGCCTCAGATTTTCTGCTTTGTTTGGGATAGGCTGGTCCCGATCTGATATCTGGATCGGAGAAAACACAGATCCAGACTCCAGATCCAGTTTTTTTTAAAGTCCGATCCCACACGAGCATTAGCATTAGCATCTGTAACCCACAGGTCTGTGTCCTAACCATTAAGTTGTTATCAGAGTAAATCCCTGTTCAACATTAGTCTGACAACTAAGTAAGTAGATAAATAACTTTAGACTTTAACACATGCTCTGATAGGCCGGGATCGGGACATCCCTAGTTTGGGATCATTTTCATTTTAATGACCCAGTTTGAGCTAAGCTTTAGCTTAGAAATGCTCTTAAATACTTTGGTAAACTGAAGGATTCTTAATTGGCGGGCGACTGCCGTGTGTCTGGCCTAAATCATTACCCTCCCACCACCATGCTTCTGAGTTATGATCAAGCATCCACACAACATGTT